ATATTCATCTTAAAGGTTGAAATACACTTCACCTTTTTTCTTGGTTCTCTCACATTTGTCCCTTTAAGAAGAATTTGACCAAGGAAGACCCTATCCTCTGACCTCTTCTATTTTCTCTCCTCTAAAAAAATTATTGCATACAAAGTAATGTATGCTTATTCTAACTAGTTGTGATGGATAACTTGATGTGTCAACTTGATTGAGTTATGGGATGCCCAGATAGTTCATAAAACAGTATTTCTGGGTGTATCTATATGCTTTTCAGAAAAAATGATTAGCCTTTGAATCAGTGGACTCACCAGTGTGGGCTGGAATCATCCAATCAGTTGAGAGTTCAAATGGAACAAAAAGCCAAAGGAAGGGCAAATTATCTCTCTCTTTTTGAGCTGTCACATCCATCTTTTTCTGCCCTTGGACATCGGAGGAGGGCCCAGTGCACCCAGTTTTCTAGCTCTCAAACTTGCAAAAGGTATCTCGTAGGACTTCCCGGCCTCCATAATCATGTGAGCCAGTTCTCGTAACAAGTTCCCTCTTACATCTATATACATAAAATCTATCTATATCCCCTCTTTATGTCTCGCAGGAGAACTCTCATAATACATTAATCAAATATTACAAAAAACTTACGATGAAAAGCAACACTATCCCTCTACTTTGTTCCCTATCTCACATCTATTCCCCCAAATAACCTTTTAAACATTCTGTTTCAATAACTCTGAATAATATACTTCTATATACCTTAGATTATTGATTTAACAGAGATTTACCATATTTATTCTTTTTTTCCACCTTTACTTTCTTTTCTTAATGTTTATAATTAGATCATTATCTTAAATTCTCCTATTGCTTACATTTGTCACTTTAAATAATCTCTTTAACCTCTGTTTCCTGTTCTGTGAATTTTAGGTAGGATCCCTTAACTCTACACTTTAAAAATTAAGATATGGTAGAATGTTTTTGGCAAGAAAAAATATAAAAGAAGAAAAACTTAGGCTATTTGGCTCCTTACTCTTCCTTCAACTTTTCTTCCATACCAGTGTCCTTTCCACATCCCACCATCTACCACCTACTTTTTCCTTTTATATTTCCAAAGTTGTTAACATTTACCTCCGTGCAATCATGACCCAGGTTTCTGTGCTTTTTCACAGATTGACTCTAAATATAATGACCCAGAAACAGCATTTACATTATCCTTATTGTGTAAATATTCTTTAAAGTTGGACCAAGTACTATATTAAGATTGCATTACTTTTTTCTGTGGACCAAACACAACCCCTAGGGTCACTCAAAAGAGATTGTGATGGCTTTGTAATGTGTTAGTGTGTTATGTTACCAGCTAGGCTGACCTATGTGTTCTGCAATTCCTCTCCCTGTATGATTCATATTAGATTAGGCCACAAGAGACATTTTGGGTCAGATTTTGAAGGCAGAAATGAAAAAGTGGTTATATTGTTTGTATGCGCAGAAGATCAAGGTAGAGGCAACAGGAGGTTTTAGCTCTCACATATTTTCTTATTTAGTGGCTCACATTGTTCAGTAGGAGCAGAAGCCCAGCCTGCAGCTGCTCCATCTTCCCCTGGGTCTTTCTGTTTCTTCTTGTTTCAGTTTCTTCTATGCCAGGTGTGCGCTTAGCTCCATGACAAAAGGTGACAGCTTATTCTGCAGAACACACACATCATCAAAGTGGGAGGTGGTGAGACTGGCACACTTCCAGTCTGTCCTAGCAGATTTCAGCTCACACTGATGAGTTCCAGCATGCTTATACCGCTATTTTACATGTCTTCCCCTCTCCATTGTCTATCTGCAGACTTCTCCAGCATCAGATGCCAGATGTCTCATGGAAACTAAATAACTTCTACAATTGTGTGTGTATTTACATAACTGATACAAATATTGGTTCTAACATCAATTTCAAGTTGATTTTTTAACATTCTACAATTGCTTAAAATTGTGTCACATCTTAGTTTGCTTCATATTTTTTACTGACATTTCTAATTATATTTCTTGGTTCCTTGAATTTGTGACTTTATCATACTCATATTCTTCCTCCTTCTTAATCATACTGTCCATAGAGTTCCTTCCCCCATGCCTTTCTCCCAATCCCAGAGATCAATTTATTTATTTCCTTCAATCTAGGACTATGCAAACTATAATTCTGGGATTTATTTGACTTACTTACCAGTTAGACACACTGTTTCCGAAATTCCATATAACCTTTGTGCACTCTCCTGTTTTGCTTGAATATATCATGTTAGTCACAAAGGAAAGTTGATGAAGAATAAATATATTGAATTCTGCATGATTAAAAATGTCTTCAAACAATCGTCACGTATGGTTGATGATCTGAGCATAAAACATTTTGTCTCATAAATTTGAAAAATATTTTTATAGAAGTTTTTAGTGTCTTCTCCTTGGTGATCTGTAAAACGTTACAAGAATATTCCTTTGTGGGGATCTTTTTGTAGCCCCAGACTCCAGGTAGATCCAGATCCTTTTAATCTGAAGACTCATGTCCTTTTCAGTTTTAAATAATTTCCTTCTATCCATATCTTTAATAATACTTCCTCTTCCATCTCCACCACCCCATCCTAACCCCAAGCACACACTATTTTTTGTTGTGTCTTTCTAAGACTCTTACTAATCAAAATTTGGACATTCCATATTTGAACCCTATGCCTCATCTTCTTTCTAACATTTCCATTACTTTCTCATTTTGGTCTACTTTCTGGGAGATTATTATTTTTTATCTCAATGGTTATATTTTAATGTGTAGGAGCTCTCTTTTATTGTCTAATAGTTTCCTTTGCATTACTTTCCTGTTCATGGGTTAAGATTAATAAAAAAGACTAATATCTTCTTTAAATTTCTATGAATATATTAAATATTTAAGATACAATGGAAAGGACACTGGCCTTCAGTTAGATATCTGGACCTTGATTATTTAACGTGCCCAACAAGGATAATATTTACTATTCCACAGGATTATTATGAATATTAAATGAGATAATATATTTTAAGAGCCTT